CAATGGAAAGGAAGAAAACTTGAGCAGAAAAAACCAACCACTTAAAAATACAAATACTGCTCAGTATTTGTTCAGAAGGCTTTAGAAGTTTTGGTAAAGCTTGGGAAGAAACAGTGGAAGGGTAGATGATCTGAAAGGCAAGGTGTGGGTTGTGCAGGGTAAGGGTTAACGAGGTGTTTGTAAGTACATAACTTTTCACAGATCTCCCTCCAGAAATCCAGCTGCTGTTGTAAGAAAGGAAAATGAATGAAAAGCTGTTGTACTGCAGTGTTTCCAGACCCCTGACATGATCCTGACCTCCAGAATTAACAGGAATTCAGACTGTAAGGAATTGGTGCCAGTAGCAAGGAAAGTTCTATTCATGTTTGTGAGAGCCACGTGTGGTGTGTATCTGCGTGGCTTTGAACATGTGCTCAGAGTGGTACAGTGAACATGTGGGTTTGGGCAGGTGCTTAACATTAAACACACATCCACCTATTGTGTTAAATGAGAGCAAACGGGGGGAAATTTAATTTGTTTTTAACATGTCTGAAGTTTGTGGAGTTTCAGCATCACTGTTCGGTATGAAAACAGCAGCAGTAAACTCAATTATGTGCTCATGAACTTCTACAAGCAACAGTAAGTAAATAGCAGGTAACATCTCACAAAGAGAGCAGTCATTGCTGTTAAAATAATCATCAGAAAATACAGGTACAATGCTTTCTACAGCCATAACTACAAGCTCCAAATAGAAGTATCAGTGTCTATGTTCTGACCTTGACAAAACCTGGTCATAACTTTTAAAACAAAATAAGACTGTAATATAAAGAAGGGCACAGGTTATGTTTATTGACAGCTTTTGAACTTGTAATTTTTTTTTTTCTGTATTTTTAACTTCATAATGAGAATGAAGTTCTCTAAGGAATTCAATAATGTATTTGTATTCCAGAGATTCTTCTGATTCAAATGCTAACTCTCCCATTTTTTAACACATAACTTCTTTTTTTGACATGTAAGGCTCATATACTTTTAATGGGGAAAAAATGCGCCAGATCTGATTATCATACAAATTGTTCTTGAAGTAAAACGAGTTAAAAGAAAGGCAGTTGCCAGACCAGTCCTATTGTTGATAGTATCTTAAATCAACCCATCTTTCATTTCCTGGCTACACCTCTTAATATTGTTTATGATCATATTTATTTTAGCTAGTAGTAAAACGCTGCTAGTCTTAGTGAAGTTACCCTGGAGTAGTTAGATCAGCAATAGAAGTTTTTAGAGAATCACAATATGCCAGAGAAGGGAATATAACTATCTTGAACAGTTCACAGCTAGACAGAATGAGTAATCATAATGTATCCCAATTATGTTGTCTAATATGAGGACCCATTTGGCACTTTTTTTTTTTTTCATATGCAAGGATATTATCATATTAGATGAGACCATGTAGCCAATGGGGTTATTATTCATAGATATCCTTATAAGCTGCCAGTGTCACAACCAATAGCTCTGGAAAATGGAAAATTCGTGGTCTTATAAAAGCAACAATAAGGTGCAAAGCAATATTTGCCTTCTGTACCTGAGTCAAAGCTAGTTCAGCTGGGTGCTATTCCTGAAATAATTAGAAATACGTGATATACATATATGCATTAACTTGAATTACAAAAGACAGGCCTATGTGCCATCATCCAGTTGTAAGTAATAAGATGGTTGGTACAGGTAGTTCTATGTGGGCTTGGTAGGAGATGTCTTGTTCTGCTTGCCCACGTCTCACAGGATAGAAGTGCTGGCTGGATTCAGCCCCTTCCTCCTTTCCCACCTTTAGTGTTTTGGTTTCTCCAAAGCATAGTAGAATTCTACTTCATTTCTTCTGATTTTTTGGTTATCACTTCAGTCCTGGAGAACAGGATCTATGGAATAAGGGGAACAAAATTAGAACTCCACCGAAATCTGCATATTCTGTTAACCCTTTTGTTCTATTGCTTATATTTTAGTTGTTTTACTGAGCTGGTTAGTTTGAAATGTTGATGTTTATTGTATGCATGTCTTTGACACAATAATCAAATCAAGATTTTCAGTAGTCTGTGCATAAATGGACTTTGTAATGAAAAGTGTTTACCAATGGAAGCAGGAACACTTCTGACAAATCACTGCTGAACTTCATCTGTGTCCTTGTTTTTTTTTACTGGTTGATAAAGCAGTGAAAGTATTGAAGACTGGCAGTGATTAACAGAAAGCAGAGACTATTATGATGAATAATGGGAGAAACAGCAACTCTGAAAATGAATCTGAAGTTTAACATCATCATTTTTAAATCATGATTTTTAACTCTTAGTTCCATTTCAATTAAGCTTTTTCCCCCAAATAATCTTTCTTCAGGTTTCTTTGGTGGTATAGGGCAGCTGTCTGAGACATCAGGCTTAAACAAAGAAAAGTAGAGTTTTACCTTCATTTTAGGCTTTCTCATGCAATTCTCTTTCTGCAATGTACCTGTGAACAAACTGATATTTGAGAACAAAGAATACTGAGGATAAGATTTCAAAAGTTTTCAAAATTATACACCTTGAGAAGACAATGCAGTTGTCATAGTTCAGAAGTTGTTGAATTGTATCATAACTGATATAACTGCATAATTCCACATCTTACAGAATTGCTCAATTGTTTCCAGATTTTTGTTCCTGTGGAGAAATGTGTGTTTAATTGGCTGTGGAAAGTTGCAACCTTTACTGTTTTGTTCAGTGTTAAAGAGTGAGATGAAGAATAGAGTTTCTCAGTTCTTTCAAACAAGTCTCTCATTCTTAGCTCCAGTGAGGTAAGTGCATTTTCTGATACAACATACGACAATGCAAAGTATTGATGATGTGTAGGATAAAACCTTGTATGTAACTTGAAGGTACCTCATACCTTCATGTAATTCTTCAGTCACTAAGTCACTTATCAGAAAGGTTTTCTGTGAGGTTGTTGGCTGCTTTCTCAGCACACTTCTCATGTGAAACTGTTTCAATGGCAAAATACAAAGCTAACCATGCTTGTAGAAGTTCTAAACCGTGCAATAAGTTTCTTCTGAGATTTCTTAGTTTTGGTGGCTGTTTTTACTAATTCTGATATGCATTACCTCGAACCTGCAACCACAGTTAAAATGTTTATTTTTTATCTTCTACTGAGAACAACAAACCATAGACTTCTTCAATCCCTTTTGTCTTTCACAAATAATTTTCACTCCCACTTTTTCCTTTCTCATGTGGTGATTCGACATAATTAACTGCAATTGGGTGTATTGTCAGTATTTTATCAGCTGCATCATTTTGGAGTGGGTAAGCTGTTGATTACTACGATTACTAAAAGGTCCTCCTGATATCTTTGAGCTCAAGATGCCTTTGAGGCTTTATTTTATTTAGAAAAATGATATGCATGAAATTACACGTAGTGAGCATTTTTCGTTGCAGTTGGAGCTAAAAAGATTCAGGAGACATAATTGCTGCTGTACAGACACATGAAGCAACATGCTGATTCCATACCTGATTTCTTTTTTTGTTCCTAGATATGGATGGGAGAAAGTTTACCTGTGTTTAGTCAAATTAATCACATATTCAATCCTGAAACAAATGTTTTTCAGATAACCTGACAGTATTGTCTATGAACAGTATGAATGAATAATGCTCTTTTTGTCTGATCACATCTTCTCATTTATCCAATTAAAAAAAAAAAATAATGAATAACATGACCTTTTGCAAATATTCCCAATCCTTGGAAAGACAATTTTAATAAAAGAATATATCATTTCAGGTTGATTTCAACAATGTAAGGGTATATCAGTGAATTCTCTCTTGCTTCCCCTCCCCCAACCCCAGATGTCTTTTCCAAAAGAATGCCATTCTCCTCTGAGCCCGGTAACATCCATGTTCTTCTCATATGTTTTCCCATCTGTACTTTTCTGACTTTCTCAGTGCAGTCCAAGAAGACATGTGGTGGGGATATTTGTGTCTAAATAAATCGGATCAGATGGGCAAGGGGACTGCACTGTATGGGGAAGGACAGAGAAGGTCATGGGCTTTGAGAGATCTGTGTGATTGGAGTTACATGGGAGGTGGTGAGAGTAACTTGGTGGGTTGTCAGGCAAAACACCTGCTCTTAGCACTCAGAATAGAGTGCAGAAGGGTACACCAGGGATCTTGAGTGAAGTCTGAAGTGATTGTTCTGGGGACTCTCCTCTGACAGCTAAGAGAGTCTATTGATTGATATATATATATTTGCCTGTTAATTTCATTTCCCTCTCCTCCCTCCCTTTCCCACCATCATAAACATCCACACCCCTCTTCTGGCCAGCCCCCGCGAGACAAGCCTTCCTAAGAAAAGCAGAAAACGATCTCAACCTGGACACGGCAGGCAGACAAGCGAAGGGGACACCACAGTCAGATGAGGCAGACGTGAATCCTGTGAAAGCCCCCCGCCCCGCTGGGCGGCCCTCAGGCAGCTCTGCCCTCCCCAGGAGGGCTCTTTGACCACGCCTCCTTTGGGGCAGCCCTTGGTAGAGCTCGAGGGCACTTGCACAGCTCCGGACGAGAAAGGGGCGTGCTGAAAAAACATCAAATCCACACCTACAGGAGGAGGACGGCGTGGGAAGGGAGGGAAAGAAGACGGCGAGGACAACGTAACTTACATGCCAAGGCTTTTCCTTAGGAAGCAAATCTCCTGCGCTCCCGGGGAGCTCAGCCCCAGCCGTCAGCTTGGGATAAGGATGAGGAGCCGCCTCGACCGCGCAGCGCTCCGCTCCCGCCCCGTCCGGCACGGCTGAGTGCCGCTTCAGCACCACGGACAGCGCCAGCAGCGCCGCCATGGGGGGCCGCGTCCGCGCAGCACCGCGCAGCGCCCCGCGCCTCTGAGTGAAGCCGAGCCGGCCCGACGCGCACATGTAAGCTGCTGCGGAGCGGCGAGCAGCGGGTTCTGCTTCTTCCGGAGCCAGTTCTCTTTTAGTCTGGCTCCGATACCAGTCCGTAGTTGTGCTCTAGGAAGTTTTGTCGGGAATGGAGATGTCACTGTGTAGCTCAGGCTTCCACGAACCTGGGTCTGGGCTGGCATTGAGATGGGTGGGTGGCTATGAGTGCAATCGGTTTGGCTTTCTACCCTTGGAATTTGTGAAAACTGCTTGGTTTTTAGTGTACCTGTAAGGGTTTGCTGTTTGTTGCTGGTTATATGGTTTGGAGGTACGTTGTTGTCTTCTCTTATAGCTGGGTGAATTTTTTTTAAGGGTTTGCTCGTCTTGGAAACAGTTTGACCAAAACAAAAAGAGGGAAAATGATAGGTCTTAAAATTCAACATGGTATCATGTCTGTTTCAGCTTGCTGAGTCTGAGTGTCAGGAGTCTTTTCGTGTTTTTTCTTATCTTGTGACAAATATCGAGAGAGCAAGTGAAAAGGGTGTAGCAATTAGGAAAAACAAAATACACTCAGAACTGAGATTTTCAGTTCTTTTCAGATGTTTTTCCTTTTTCTTTTCTTTTTTTTTTTTAAATAGAACTGTTTGTTGAAATCCAGCATTACACTGCCCCCTGCTTGCACAATTAGAAAAAAAAAATCATTATTGTCATCAGTAGTAAAAATTTATGAATGAGAAGGTATTCCTCTGTTGTGTTCTGGGTGTGATCTCAGCTTGACTTTTGAACTGCTTCAATAGAGAGGATGAACTAGTCCTGATTCAACAAGCTAGGTGTATTTTTTTATTTAAAATAACAGATTCCATTCATGGCAGTTCATCTGGTGGCCAAACATGTTAATGAATGAACAGCTGGAGCAACGTCAGAGTAGAGCTGATTTTGATATATCTCACAAGTATTCTGTAACAGTTTTGCAATAATCAGGCATTTTCAATACTATCTATGAAGGAGCAATAAGGAATGGGGAAAATAACCTTGAAAATATGTTATAAAGCAAGAGTAAATTGAATATAAGAACAAGATGATTATTTCACAGCCTCTTCTAGCATTAAAGACTTGTGTTGATGAGTTTTCTTTGGAATGGGAAAGCGCATGATGATTCTTAAATTATGGGAAGGGGAAACAGCTAAGAAGCAATGAATTTTTATTTATTTATTTTCTTTGTGTGTGTGTGTGTGAAAGATATCTGGTAAAAGTCATATTCCATTTCCTTTTTCTCAAACCACAGGGCAGAGCTACCTGCCTTCAACCAGGGAGGAGTTCAGGGAGGATATTAGAGTTTAGGTGCCAATAAAGATTCAGTGCTCTCTCAGTGTTTTGGGGATACTGGCCTCAGATCTTATGCTTTATGACAAGAAGATTATGGAAGTTAGTGTGTATAATCCATCAACATCCTTTAACGATATGTAAGACCTGGTTTGCATGCCTGAATGTATCTTACCATGCCATTTCTCACTGAGATTTCAGAAAGTGTGGATTTGCTATTTGCACCTGTATTTCCTCAAGGCCTCTTTTCAGAGATTGACCTTGAAATATCATTTTCCTTTATCTATGAGCAGTGGGAATGGTGGAGGAGGGGGCATTTCTTTCTGCAACTGTTTTGAAGGACTATTCTGCAAATGAATGAATTTCTCCAATATGTACTGGACATGTACAACCTTCCTCCCCCACCCCCCCTGCCCCCACTGCGTGAATACAGTTAAAATACTCCATTAATTACTCCTGGATACACATATAACTTTTCATTTAGGACAAGAACCACATTGCTAACAGTGTTGTCATAATTTTAGCCATCCTAAGACTAAATAAACAAAAGGTTTTTTTGCATTTCAAAGCATAGAAAGCTTAATCTACTGTTAATCAAAACCAGCCATACCAAATGATATTCAGTATGCATAGTAAGTTCAGTATATGAAAAATGGCACTTAAAACTTTTGATTTAAAGGATAATGTCCCAGTTTAAGGTAAGATTTAGAGGGTTATTTAAGATACTGGAAAAAAATGAGGATCTGAGAGAGATCTGGTAATAAACACCTATGCAGCATTTGAAACTCCAGTGTAGACTGTTGCATATATTAAAATATTTGAAGGTTGAGTTCAGCCTGTGGTTGTCCCCTGAAGTTGGAGTCCACTTCAAAACATGCTATCATTTTTTATCATAAAGGTATAACATCTATTTTTGCTCAGAGCAATTTAATATACTCTTTAAAATTGATTAATTTCTGTATATCTATTTGTTTCTTGTCATAAACCTTAATATCTTTAATTTTTGTTCATGTTTCTAGCGCATCTTTAAACAGTTTGGTTTTGTATGTGTGTGTGGAAGGAATGTTCAGTGCACAAAAATGGTCCATTTGATGCCTAAAATCCGTGACCATTTCAAAGAGGCCTCAGGGATTCTGCAGTCTTTTTGTGCCCTGATTATTTTTTAGAAACATTGGTGTAAGTAGAAATTAAAATAAGAAGTAAATTTCCCAACTGGCAGTTTCTGAGTCTCCTTAGGAGCTAAAAAGTTCTGTTTTTAAAATGGTTTTCAGAAACTTAAAGTTCCTTTTCACCCTGGCAAAGTCAATGTCTTACCAATGCCTACCCTCATGGTTGTTTCACCATGCGTGGCTCATAGTAATGGTTACTTATCCTAGATTTCTGTTGAAGTTTCAGGACAAAGAGAGCAGCTGAAAGAGTACAAGGAAGACTCCTGCTAGCTTCTCTGCACCAAAAGGAAATCCAAAGAATAGCCAGAGTCCTTAAGTTCCTAAAGCTGCTTTTCTAAATGCCCTGCTCAATTCTTAGGCTTTTAGTCAGGTAAAGGCTGACATCACCTGAGATTTCCAGAATTACCTCAAAGGCATGTACCCATTGATTTCAACACCTATTCAAGCTTCAAGTGTATCTACTCAAGTAGATACCATTCAACCTGTCCCATGTGCTTTCAGAGTTCTCTTTCAAAGTACCTTTGAAAATTTTCTCCAAGCCTGAGCTCTAGGTGGTAGTCTGGCTGCTTCACAGTTGCTTTCACTATGCAGCAACATGCTGTATGGGACCAAAGAGTTGGCAGAAGACCCTGCATGGTGTATATGGGAGCACTGTGAAAGGGAGGGTTGAGGAGATGACCCCTTTGCTGAGATATGCTCAAAATGAAGCAGCCCAGTTTCTTCTCTCTTTTCCTTGTTCCACACATCTGGCACTTAACCAGGCAAGGGAATTTGGTTGCCAGAGGAAGATCTTCATCTTCAACAGTGTTTTCAGTGACTAAGAACAAGCCATGTTATGCCATATTCCCACATGAGGCGTTGAGTGTCTCAGCTCCTAGTAACTTCAGTGCAAGTTGCAAGGACCCACTCTAAGCCACTTTAATTAGGAGCTGGGATATTCCCAGAAGATGATTTGTTAAAAGCTACATTGCTACTGAAATGGTTATTCTTCTCCACTCACCACAGGAGTCCAGACATCTTATGGCTCCCTCAGCTGTATAAAGCTGGATGTACATTGCTGCAAGCAGTACATGGGCCCATTTCTTTTTCCCAGAACACTTTATCTCCAAAACACTGCATACACTGGCATTCTTTCCCAGAAAAATACAATATTTAATTGCAGTGCTTGATGAGCTTGATCACTAACTATCTCAGTAAAATACACAAATACGGAGACGTTTCAATACAATGCCCTTTATACAAAAATGGTAAGATAAATGCAGTCAATTTACAATTGCTTTTTAGTTTGTTTTTTTTTAGGAAGACATTACACACAATCAGTAAATATGATTAGTTCTGAAACTGCCTGCGCATGACTGAAAAGCAGAATAGAAAAATGTGCTGAGTACAGTCATGACTTTATAGAAGGGTTGGGTTTCCAAGATGCTTTGATGATGCATAAATTACTCTTCGCACTGCCACTTCTCTATCACGATTCAGTGATCGTGTCAAACATAATTACAACTTTCTTTTCAGAACAGGAGTTGATAGCTGAGCGTTCCTCATGAAATCATTCGAAGTTAAAAGTATAATTTTTTATTCATCTCCTGCTCTCTATAAAGTGCAGTGGCAGAGATATTGATCTTCCGTGCTCGCGCCCTATGACTAGAGGTCATAATTCATCTGAGGTGAAGCCCTCTGAATTATGGTGCTTTTTCCCCTTCCTCTAGGCAGTGGAGATTAACTCTGTGCTGCAGGGACAACCCTGTTGAACATGTATTATAAGCACAAGGCTGAATATTATTATTATTTCTTTTTCAGTTTGTATTCTTTTCTGTTTCCTCTTTTTCTGACATAATTTCTGTTGCTAGAAACTGTATGAAACCAGTTTAGTCTCTGAATTGAAGGAAATGAAATGAAGGTCCTTTTTTTGGCATGTTATTACGTATACAACAGACTGGTGTGAATTAGCTCTAGGCTAAACTCTAACCTCCTTTTTCAGGCAAAACTTTCAGTTGTCCAGTGGTAGTATTATTGTAGTTTTGTGGGTTTGACAGTTGTGCCTCACCTGTCAGGAGAAAAAAAGCTATATAAGCATTTATATGTGTGTGTGTGTGTGTGTGTGTGTGTGTGTGTATCAAGAATGTGACACTGAGCAGAATATCTAATACGTTCCTCACTGCTAGAATTGCTCCAAATTTCTGGGATGCTTCCAGTACTAACCATTAAATATAACAACAAATGTACGTTTCCCAGTTATTTATTTGCCATACAACATTTTTAGAACATAAAAATCAATGCTTTTTGAAGATCAGAAGAAGCCAGTGGAATTCCTCTTGCATGAAGCAGCTATTGCAATTATATCCTCCACTATTCTATTTTTTGTCTTACTTCCCTTATTCTTTTCTTCTCCTGAAGAACATAATACTGAAGGCAATGTGTCTCCTGGCTCCTTTCCCTCTTGTCACTCATGACAGTACTTTCAAACTCCATTAGTAATTTTTCAGAGCAACACATGAACTTTTCATTGAGTGAAGGTCAAAACTGACTTGGAGAACAGATGGGGTGTGGAAAGATGAACCTTTGCCACCCACTGAGCATTAACACCTGCTTATTTCTTACATCTGCCTGCTGCAGCTTACATGCTCCTGAAAATTTTACCCAAGTGATTTAGGACTTGCAATTGGATTGAGTGCAACTGGCATTTGTGAAAGCGGTTTTGTTTTTACCTTCCTAGTCATGCTTTGCATTCTTTGAAGGTGGAAATTTATTTACTTCATGTGCTTGGAACCTAACAGAGGGACTGTGATTTTGTTGAAATGCTATTGCAATAAAATGTAAAAAGGGCAACAGTAAGATGGTACTGAATGCAAATTGTGAATGCTTCAAAAGCACAGGGAGATTTAGGATTTCTGCTGGTTTTACAAGAGGGTGCTGCTTCCCCTCTGAGCCCAGTTATACACAGCATAACTTTCTTTGGAGGTGCCAGAGAAGATGGCATAGAATAGTTTGGCTTCATCCAACCAACTCCAAGTGAAGGCATTTCAGCCACATAATCAGTGGGGAAATTAAAGACCCCTTCCAATCTGTTCCTTCCTTTGTCTTCTGTTGGTGGTCAGATATCTGCATTGTTGTTTTTCAACAGTAGCTTCAGTAAGCTTCTTTCTGAGGAGTGATCCTGAAATGAGGAATTATACCTGTGTTTTACAGTACTGGTCTCTGGATTTGAGTACTTGTATTTAGAGTTGCTGCCAACTGTATTTCAACATGAAAATTAGACATTCATTAAACTACTCTAGATCTGGAAAGAGAAAAATGGTATTATATAGCATGGAAACAAGCAGTGAATGAAAAGGTGGTTTGTTTGTGCCAGCTGAAACTTAGCGGAATGCGCAATATATTTATTCCTGTTATTATATGTTATTATGTGTTCAAAACTGGATGCATATTTTTTAAGTTTATAGCATATAGTTTATTGGTCTGGTACAAGAGCTATTGATGTGCTAACCTTATTTAGCTTACCTCATTAAGAGTAATAAAGAGAAATACTACGTTATGGATACAGTTCCTAAACAAACAAGAAAAAATAATGTATTTGCACTGTTTTTTAAATGAAGTTTTCAAACTAAGAATGTTCTTGGCGTTACTGTTGAAATCCAGAATGTTGTACATCAGGAAAAGACTTGCCTGTTGTCCAGAAGAAAATATTCTTTATTCCATAGGTATCCTAAATTATTTAAAATGCCTGGCTCAGAGCATACAAAGCCAGCAAGATCAGATCATAACAATGCATTTCCAACTTTACTTCAAGTTACGTGGAGTTATGTATCTTCAAGAGCATAACTTATGTTTCTTTGTGCTGTTTTTGTTTTTGTTTTTTTTCCAGGTTGAGAAACAGCAATTATAAAAACATGCATCGAAGGCACACAACCCTTCGGGAGAAGGGCCGCAGGCAGGCCATCCGGGGCCCAGCCTACATGTTCAATGAGAAAGGCACCAGCCTGACTGCAGAGGAGGAACGTTTCCTTGATTCTGCAGAATATGGCAACATTCCAGTCGTGCGAAAAATGCTGGAGGAGTCCAAAACCTTGAACTTTAATTGTGTTGATTATATGGGACAAAATGCCCTACAGTTAGCTGTAGGGAATGAGCACTTGGAAGTGACGGAGCTCCTCCTCAAAAAGGAGAATCTAGCTCGAGTTGGGGATGCGCTTTTGTTAGCCATCAGTAAAGGATACGTGCGCATAGTGGAAGCAATATTGAACCATCCCGCCTTTGCACAAGGGCAGCGTCTCACACTCAGTCCCCTTGAGCAGGAACTGAGAGATGACGATTTTTACGCCTACGACGAAGATGGAACTCGGTTTTCCCACGACATTACCCCTATCATACTTGCTGCCCACTGCCAGGAGTATGAAATTGTTCACATCTTACTTCTAAAAGGTGCACGGATTGAAAGGCCGCATGACTATTTTTGCAAGTGCAATGAATGTATTGAGAAGCAGAGGAAAGACTCCTTTAGTCACTCTCGATCGAGAATGAATGCCTACAAAGGATTAGCCAGTGCTGCTTACTTGTCTCTTTCCAGCGAAGACCCCGTCCTTACTGCTTTAGAATTAAGCAATGAATTGGCCAGACTAGCCAACATTGAAACTGAATTTAAGGTAACTTACTTCCATGGCATTTTTTGTGGGTCAGATGTGTTCAGTGTACTTTCAGTGTATATTTCACACGTTTGATCAAGTCGTGTCTTGCAATCTTGGGGGGAGGAAACAGAAAGTATAGAATGTGTCTATATATGTCCACAACACACAGATCCAGATCACTATGCATTCTGCAGTTAATAAGTATTTGGAACTGAATACTGCATATTGCATCAGTGCTGTCCTTACTGGGAATTTTTATATTGTACTCTGTTATTGCTTAGAATCTTTAGTTTGAGGCAGGAATAAAACTTAAATTATTTTATTCCAAAAATGAAGACGCAGTTCCTGTAAGAAAGGTAAGTCTTTTTAACTCAGCAGTGTATTTTTAGAGGCAGAGCTCTAGAATCTGGTGTAACTGATCGAGAATCCAGAACATCTAGTTCTGTTCCAATGATAAAAGGTATAAATTAAGCACTTTTGGTTTTCTGCAAAGTAATTAAAATTGCATTTCATCTTAATGGTTGAGTACTCCATCTCTGTATGATGAATTTCATTAAAAAGGAGGGGAGAAATTATAAAGAAATTGTTATGAAGTCAATTACCATGCGAAACAACAGTGGAACTTGCAGAACTCTCTGACAAGTTATTCAACATTTGCATTATCATAATGAGTTTGTAAATGTCCAGTGTCATTTGCATTATTTCTCTAAGTCATTCACATCTCATAAATAGCATTGCCTCCCTTTATAAAGTAAATTAGTCATGAGAAAACTCATTTTCAGTGGTTCAGTCATCAACTTTAAGCTGTTTTCTGACTTACAACTGTTGTGCAGCTACAATCACGATCAGTGACACTGGGGTAATAAAGCATATATTGTGAGTAAACTGGGGTAGAATGCCAGCTAGAAATCTATTATTTTTAATTTAGAAAACTATTCAAGTGTTAAAGCATCCATTTCATGACTTAAAGCTACGTGATTGCTAATCTAAATCTGACAAGAAGCATGCTCTCAAGCTGCTACCTTTGAAACAGTGTAGTAAGTCTGTAGCAAGCGGAAAAATACCAAAAAACATGGACCTTTTAGGCAATAAAATTAGGGCAAAATCTTACAAAGTCCTTTTTTTTCCCCTTACGAATCAGAATTGGAAGAACACAACAGTTTAAAAACTCACTGAGTTTTATGAGGCAGCTTCTTAAGTGAGGGTTACTTTGGTGTGAAACCATGTAGGTTCACCCAAATTGTTAACAACTTAATATCTCATTAACGTTCCATCTTCTCAGTAGAGGACTATCTCCTTGTGCGGAGCACGAGCAGTCTCAGTATTGCATGCCTGTCAGCTCTGATAAGAGTCTTGCTGAAGAAATGCAAATCTACCAGAATCCCTCCTTTTGTTCATAGAGCTGCCAGCATAGTCTAGACTGGCATTGGCAGGTACATGAATCCTCCAGGAGCAAAGGAGATGGAATGCTGAATAGTCTCGTGATGGTTAACCTCCATCTCCCCAGGCTGACAAATGGATGTGAATAAATCAAGACAGGAAAATCACTAGAAAACGTTCGCCAGTTTATTGTATTTTCAGGAATGTTTTTCAATTTTGCTGTCCACTGAGAAGGTTCTGTGCAAAACACACGTATGTATATTAATGAGGTACCTCTGAAGTTAAGCTGACCCAGTAGTTTACTTCACATTTTTAATATTCTTTTAATATATGGCCATTTCCAGAAATAACGAATATCTCAAGATGATGATGTACTTTGCTGTAGATGAAAATCAAATTTATGTATGTATTCAGAAATATTTATTCCTATTAACATAATCAATGTGGCACAGAATACAGCAGAGGCTTTTTTCACAGAACATGACATTTTGAGAATTTATTTCTAGAAAAGAATGCATTCACTGGAGATGTATTTAAGAAGTCCATAAATTAGGAAAAATGTATGAAATCAGACAAGCTCCAGATTTCTTCTTTTGTGTGCATCTTAAAATAATATTTTCCAGAACTTCATACTTTCTATTGCTGAGGTTCTGTAGTTACCATCAGTGCTCCACAACTACATAGAATCATCACTTGGAATTATTTTGAATTAGGTAATTATGCGCAGTCTTAACAATACAGTTTTCAAGAGGAACAAAAAGTCCTTGAAACTGAAGGACACAAGTAAGATTTTAATAATGTAGGTGAAGAAATAGTAATTAAAGGCTGGATCACCTACCTCTGAAGAAACTCTTAGCATGAGATAATTAAAATATAAATGCAGTGCCTCTCACCTGCTGCTTGCTGCCCTCAATCTCTAATGCACCATTCATAGGAGTATTATTGAGGTTAAAATGGAAGCCTGGACATGTGATAGAATCTCACTGCTGACCTTTGGCAGCAATTCTGCTGACTGATCAATAGGTCTTTAATATTGAGAGTAGATATTCTGGTTATCAGTCTGGGTGGATATTCTGCCCTACTGAACTCCTTTCTTGATGTGTTGATTTGGGCTCAGAAGGAAGATCAAGGCAGTCATTTACAATGTAAATTCCCCTGTGTTGAAAGGAGCAGTAACAGTGGAGACTCAAAACTGGAAGAAAGGTGGAAACTGACAGAGCCAGTCAATGCCAGTGGTTCTATTGGAGCAGATCGACTATTGGGTTAAATCAGTGCTTTTTCAGTCAAGCTGAGGTGAAAGTGCAGAAGATGAGGATCTGTCCAGCTATCTACAATAAATGCATAATCTCGAACAAGCCATTATTTCAAGCAAATCTGATTTTTGCAAGGCTTATTTATAAGGGGAAAAAAAAAAAAAAAAGTGAAATATCGTTACATTTATACAGAAATTATTTAATTTTTTAACTTTAAATTCTCTAATGTCAAAGACCTCCCCCCCAAAAAAAGCAAACAAAAAACCTAAAAAGCTTTCTTATAAGCACGAGAAAACGAATTGCTTTCAGAGACATATTCCGTGAGTCCAAAAATATGTAATTCAATCAGAATATCATCCTCTCCCAAAATAAGATTAAAACTTATTGTACTGAGAATACTCACAATTTGAGTGCATTAAATGACCTGGCAGTTAGCCTAAAAATGAAGCAGGCAGGAAAGTCATCCAATGTGGATTCTTGAAATTTCGGAATAACTCCCAGTATTTGTACATGTTGCATACATCTCATATTGTGCTAAGATATTTTACAGCTTGTAAGTAGAGCTGAGTGTTAAACACAGCTGGCTATAAAAGGAGGTGTTAAGTATCTGAAGCTCCAGGGGAAGGCTGTGCTTTTACTCAAATTGAAAGATCTGTGCACACTCCCATTTCTTTCAAAGTTGGCAGACCTTGAGCATGAGTCATAAAGCAAATAATCCTTCTGTCTTCGATCAGTGAATTCTGTTTGTTTTGCTCGTACAAGTAAGCTGCCAGTGTGAATAACATAGGCAGGATTTGTCCACACAAATAAGACGTTGCCTGTGAATCCAACTGGTAAAGGCTGCTCTTCTCTCCAGTCCAGGGAAATCAATCTTCCTCATGTCACCTTGGCATGAAGCTGGATGCAGATTTCTTCACAGATATTGGCTCTTCACAGCCAGGTGACTCTTCTAAGACTGAGATATTAATAGCAGAGTCAACAGAATCATTTCTGTGTGTCCACTGATCTCCTTTTGGAGATAATCTTTCTAGCAAACAGTCTGCAGAAATGTTTTCACCTTGCAACTTAAAGGCAACATCAGGCTTACTACAACAGTTCACATCCTGCAAACTGAGAGAAAGCAGTAGCTCTGTTTGCTCTTTTGTTTAAGCTGTGATGGAGCACTCCTGTTTCTGGTGGGATCCCAACCCACATCCAGGTTTGTTTTGCAGCTGGCATGCTCTAAAATACACGGCATGCTTTGGGTGGTGAAGACAATCGGCCAATTCGTTCCATTTAGCAATCCAGACAAATTAAATTACAGAATCACAAAGGAGGCTGTGAAAAATCTCATGAATTGTATGTGGTAAATAAGTTCTCAGCTCCGGTTGACTAAAATATTACTGAAGGTGTGATCAAAACCACCACCTGGAAGACATATGGCGTGTTCTCTTTGTTTAGCAATCCTACCAACACTCTCTGTTCATTCACTATAGCACATGTTTTGTTTCTAACTGCTGTATCTCTTGCTGATGCTCTTTGATTGACTGTAGTGCTTTCTCTAAAGGATTTCAAGATCCAAAAGTGACCTTATCCTGTCTGTGTGTGTACGTGGCACATCCAGGCTCAGCTGTGCCTGGCTGCTGCCCTATTTATGGGGAGCAATGGCTTGTGTGGCAGCAAGTCAAGTGTGTAGCTGCCTACAGAGATATGCCTGCTAGGAACTGCTTGTCATTTCAGTGGGGCTGCAGTAATGTGAGACAGCTGAGACTCAAAGCCATGAACCCTCAGGGAACAAAAAGAATGGCAAAACATCCCAGGAGACTTAATGGCATGTATCAGTTAGGGATGATCTGGCATTCCTGCAGTGCAACTTTTGCTCCTGTCACTCAGGACCACCTTTTTTCTACCTAGGTCATTCGTGTGATTGACCTAAACATTGTAAGAAAAATAACCTTGTAAAGTTCCTATGCATTTCTTACTTTATCTCTGCAAATGTGGAATTTGAACCAGACCCTACGCTGAGTGATAGTACTGCTGCTGCAAGACAGTATGCACTGGTGTATCTGATTATATCTTGCTGAAAAGCTGCAGTTCTGTCCAAACAGAAGAATCTCTTTGGCATTTTTGCTCTCAGGACTGCCTGGAGGCATTCCCTAAGTTTCATCTCCCATGAAAATAAAGACACTGTTGTGGGAATCTTCCTAATTAACTTCATGAACACTCTTGTAAATCAATCACTTTTTTTCTACTCTGACCAACTCTTCCGTGAGTGATCCTTTTATCCCTCCATAATCCCTTCTCTCTGGCATGCATCTTCCTTCTGACACCTTTTATTAGTGATATTTATTACTTCAGCAAGATGCTTACTGATGCCTTAGTGTTTTTATCTGGTCTTCCAATTTT